CAATATGGTCATCCAACTAACCACTAATTATTAATTTGTTTAATTTTATGCTTTTATCTTTTTTTTATGCTTTATATACCATTTACTTTAAACATACATTTCATGTATTTGTATTTTGCTCACTTGAGCATTTATATCCTTGTTATCTTTGTTTTGCTCACTTGAGTCTTTCTTTTCTTTTTCAAATCACCTAATAATCAAAATAAACTCTAAAAATTCTTTAATGGTACTTGGACTATTTGGTTACTATCCTTGGTATTATAGAGCATTTGACTTCTTGGACTTAGGATTAGAAACCTTGGCCTATGTGGAGACCTTGTGACCTTAATTGATATTTTGTCTAGAGTTCTTGAGGTTTACCTCAAGACATTGGGTTGTTTGTTTGTTTTATGTGCAGGTTATTGTGATTACGTACTTTGTTTGTAATCTGGAATTCACCCGTATACATCCGTTACTCTGCCCAATTTTTGTGAAGACTTAATATACTTGAAGCTTGGTTCTCTCAAGAGGTCTAGTATCTTTGCTAGTTTGGTTTCAATCCAAATAATGAGAATTCTATCTTGACTCATAACTTCAAGTATTGGCTTCTTGTTGGTTAGATAGTTCTTTTCCCTAACTTTTATCTTATGCTTTAGGATAGTCTCCTCTTCTCCTTCCATCTTCTTTAATTTCAAAAATCTTCTCCCTCCTTTTGAAAACTCTTCTTGTTTTTTTTTAACTTGAATCACTTTCATAATAAACTTGGATCATGTCCATGCATTTTCAAAATATTTTCATAAATAAACTTCAATCAATTTAATAATACCTTGACATTTTTTTGTGAGAAGATTAAAAGTCAATCAATCTCATTTCAAACTATTTTTCCACTTTGGCTTTTATTTTAAAACCTTTTTCTCAAAAGATTAGACTTTTGTCAATCCTTGTAGTGATGCAAACAACTATACTTCTATAATATATAGTGAAGAGAGATATTTTCCACTTGAGTGTTGAGTGAGGAATTTTTTATTTTAAAATCCAACCCATATCCTCCATTTTGAGATGATGCAAATTCTTCTTTCTCATGATTGTGGGTAGTAAGTATGTTTTCCACACGGACAATGACGATGATGTCTTATCTCATAAAATTAACCAACACACTTTTGTTTTAAAATTTTTAAAAAAGGAACTACGTGTACCCTGATCCCCCATTGCACAAAAGGTGGTACGTAGGCACTAAAGGTTCGCAACCGCGGCGGGTGCAAAATTATAAAAAATATATATTTCTTTTCTCACCTCCACCATCTATTTTTATGCAACATTTTATAACCAAAATATACAGATTTTACAAAGAGGTTCCTACGGAGTACCGTAGATGTTTAGGGTGCTAATACCTTCCCTTTGCATAACCAACCCCCCTTACCTTGAATCTTTCCCTCTCTTTTTGGGTTATTCGCTCTTTTCCCATTCCTTTGGAAACAATAAAGCGCGGCGGCGATTTTTATTTTTGATTTGTATAAGTCTAGTCAATCCAATGGCTTAGTCTTAAACATTTCTACCGCTATATAAGGCGAATAATGTAATTAATATGGGGTTTAGGGAAACTAACCGATTATAATCTAGTTTAGATTCAAAGGAGAATATCGGTATGTAATGGTTGGTCTTCGAAGATTTAGCAACTCATTGACCTAACTAGGATTAACAAAACAGTTTTTAGTAGGAAGTATCTGTTTGAAAATCCTCTTCTCACACTCTCGTGTTTATTGATTCAGATCCTACGATCCAACCTAAGTGAGTGCTCTCGCTGTTTCAATTAGAGTTTAAAAATAGTTTTTGAAAATAAACAAAACCTAATCAACTTAAAATCTCTCTCGTTGTATTTTAAGTTGATGCACAATTACCATTGTCCAGTTATTATCTCAAACTCTCGTTTTATTGATCCTAACTTCTATCTGTATTTTACTGTCGTAACAAAATAGTTAATATTTAGAACTAGTAATTGAAACTAAAAATTTATTCTTTTTTAAAAGGAACTAATCAATTGGCGTTGCTAAACCCGTTGGCTATATGACCTTACATACGGATAAATAAATTTAGCCTAGCATATTAAACAATTCAATAACAGCGCAACATAAATAATTACCATCTAACAATTTAAATAAACTAAACATTTCAGACAATCCTAGCATAAATAAATAAAATACTTAAATTAAACCTGAAAATATTATGGCAGAATATTTGGCTGATATCAGATGTCTCCCACAGATCGGTAAAGAAAATAATGCGAAAAGAAATAATGCAGAAAATATTCGACAGAGTAACAGTAAAAACAGAGAAAAGAAAATGTGTTTAAAAATGGAAATTGAGGTCCTATTTATAGGATTGGAGACGTGCAGGGAGTTGAGATATTTTCTCCTCCAGATTTGCTTTCGTAGCGACCGCTACGAATTGAAACACTAACGGTCGTTACACTCCTTCTTTTGAGGAGGGACTAGCTGCAAGGTGTAACGGTTGTTACACCCCCTACTTTTGAGGAGAGGCTGACTTGGCAAGGTGTAACGGTCGTTACACCCCCTACTTTTGAGGAGAGGCTTGCTTGGCATGGTATAACGGTCGTTACACTAGGGTTAGGTGACATGTAATGGTCCTTACACCCCTTGGACCTTGGATGGATTGGGCCCAGCGTGTATTTCTTCTTTTGTTCTTTCAAGGCTTTTACTTGTAACGCACTCAGTTTTGCCACACACCCCTCAATTGTATAATTTCTCTTTCTTTGTGCGGATTTTAAATACGATTAGCTTGACTTTTCTTGACTTTCTTCGCACATGCATTGCAAACATCAAATTTCTGAAAACGTAGAAAATACCAGCATAATACGAATAAAGAGTAATTTAATTAATTAAAATGCGGATAAAATTCATGTAAATTGATCCAAATATTCGATACATTTCCGGTTTATCAAATATCCGCAGAATCCATAAAAAACACCAACCGAACCGCGAACTACGAAATAGGAATAAAAACCCTTTTCCATGGTAAAGGAATAAAAATCCTATATCCTAAACATCGCGTTTCTAAACCTAGTATCCTTGTGAACAAAGTAGATAAGGTGTGCCTAACACCTTCCCCTCGTCTAGAACTGAGTCCAAATCTAGAATCTCTGAAAAATTTTAAAGTTATTCCTTTATACTCCCTTCCTTTAGGATAAAAATTAAGGGTATCTGCTTAAATTCTAAACAAAGCTCTGAACTGTTGAAACTGGAATAATGGCGTGAAAAAGTGAAATGCGAGATAACGGAACAAAAACGAGAGAGAGAGAGAGAGAGAGAGAGAGAGAGAGAGAGAGAGAGAGGAGAGCAGAAGGCCTCTGTTGTAAATTGTCCTTCTTTTATAGTACTTTTCCAATAACAGAGTTCTTGAGAGAATCTAGGAGTTGTGACTTCATGCTTTAGAAAAATCCGTGTGTGAAGAAAGACCAGGAGGAAATAATGTAGAGTCGTTGGCACTGGCAACGTGGAGAAAACTTCGCGCGTCAAATAGGAAAATAGGCTATGCCGAGTGGCATGCATTATGTGCCGTGGGGCACACATATTTCTATCTTGTGTCGAACGTCATGGCATGTGTGCCGAGGGGCACACATGTTTAACTTGTGCCGAGCGTCAGGAAAGGTGTGACGACCGTCGCAGCCTTCTGATATGAATTCTTCTGTTATTTTCTGATTTTCAGTCCGTTTTTTTTCTATTTCTTCTCCCTTTTCTCATGTAGGCCTTGGATGAAATAATAACCTGAAACAAACTTGAAATACCAACATAATGCAACATAATTGAGATAAAGCGGTAAATTTATTTATGCAAATCGGGTTGAATATGTTATGTATTTTCGCGTTATCAGATATTTTGGAAAAAACTTCATCTTAAAGAAAGCTTACTAAGACAAAAATCCAGACAACTGTGGTTGAAGGAAGGGGATAACAACACTAAATACTTCCATAATCTGATCAAAGATAGAAGAAAAAGAGGTAATTTAACTATTATGAAGAATGAAGACGGATCTGAATGTTTAGATGTTGCGGCAGTAAAAGAAAAAGTGGCAGGAGTTTTTGAGGAAAAGTTTAAGAAGTCGATTGAACATAATACAAAATTCAATGGAATAGTTTTCAAGACTATTTCTGAGGAAGAAATGGAGAGTTTAGAGAAAGCATTCACAAGAAAAGAAGTAAGGATGGCTGTATGGGAGTCAGATGGGGAAAAAGTCTAGGTCTTATGGACTAAACTTTAGGTTTATTCAAGAGTAGTGGTCTTTCTTGGAGGAGGACTTGATTACTTTTGTGAATGAATTTCATGAGTATGTTGTAGTACCAAAGGCCATCAATGCCTCTTTCATTGCACTAATACCAAAGTCTAACAATCCTCATCATTTGAAAGAATACAGACTCATATGCCTTGTGGGGTGTCTATATAAGATTCCGTCTAAAATTCTTGCAGCAAGATTTGAGAAAATTCTGGGAGGAATTATTTCTCCATGTCAGATAGCTTTTGTACCAGGCAGGCAGATTTGGATGGTGTGATTGTGCTTAATGAAATAATTGACTTGGCACATAGAGAAAGAAATGAATGTTTGATATTGAAGGTGGATTTTGAGCAAGCATATGACTGTGTGAAGTGGAGTTACCTTAGGAAAATGCTAGCAATTTTTTGATTTGGTAAGAAATGGTGTAGCAGGATGGAGGCTTGTATTTTCAGGAGTAGCATGTCAGTCTTAGTAAATGGCAGCCCATCAAGAGACTTTGATGTGGCACGAGGGCTTAGACAGTGTGATCCTCTGTCACCCTTTCTATTCACATTGGTGACTGAAGGATTAACAGGAATGATGCAAAAGGCTACACAAAATGGAGCTTTTGATGGATTTAAAGTGAGTGGGGCAGTGGAACACCAAATTCTACAATTTGCAGATGATACAATAACAATGGAGAAAGGAAGTTGGAGCATTTGTGGAGCATAAAATCAATACTCAGGGGATTTGAAATGGTATCTGGACTGAAGGTGAACTTCTTCAAAAGCAAGCTGTATGGAATCAACATATCAGGAGAATTTATGTTAGCAGCTTCTCAATTCCTTTTCTGCTGCATTGATCAAATCCCATTCAAATTTTTGGGCATTCAAGTGGGAATAAATCCTAGGAGATGTTGTGCTTGGAAGAGTGTTGTGGAGGGGCTTAAGAAGAGAATGTCAGGTTGGAAGGCAAGAAGTTTATCAATTGGAGGGAGGGTTACAATGATAAATGCAATTCTGAATAGTGTTCCTGTCTATGTAATGTCATTTTATAAAGCTCCTAAGAAGATCATTAAACAAATAATCCAAATTCAAAGCAGATTTTTATGGCTAGGCAATGAAGACAAGAGGGGGATTGCATGGGTGAGTTGGGACAATGTATGCAGACCTAAGGAGGAAGGAGGCCTTGGAGTAAAACATATTGAGACTTTCAACTCAACACTGCTATGCAAATGGAAGTGGAGGATGTTAAAGGAAGAGACAGCCATTTGGAAGGATATCCTTCAAACAAGATATGAAGATTTAACAATTCGAAATATGCAAGATGTTCAAGCTAGCAAAATCAAGAAATCATCCATCTGGTGGAGAGATGTTGTGTCTGCTGGCAGAGTTGTATTAGCAGATAAAACATGTGCTGACATCTTCATGATTAAAGTAAAATACAAAGTGGGATCAGGGGAGAAGACAGTGTTTTGGCATAACATATGGATTGGTGATAAACCATTGAAGGAAGAATTCCATGAGGTCTATGCTAAGGTTGTAAACAAGCTTGGCAGAGTTTGTGAATTGTGGAAGAGTGCCCCATTAGTGTGGAAGTGGGATCTTGGCATCAGTAAGGAGGTTTTGATCAGCATGAACGGCACTGCAGCCAGACAATTGAAGGAACTGGAAGAGATTTTGGAAGAAATTGAGATAAGACAAGAACAACAAGATACCATTTGGTGGTGGCCTGAACAAGATGGGATCTTTTCAGTCAAATCCTTTTATGACAGAGCTAGAAAGAAAGTTACAACAAATGATGAGTTACAGGTGGAGCAGACACATTACTTGAAACATATATGGAAAGGTTGAGTTCCTTCAAAGATCCGAATATTTGGTTGGAGGGTTATAATTAATAGATTGCCTTTAAGAGAGCAATTGGTTAAGAGAGGGGTTATTCAAGACAACAACAATAAGTCTTGTGTATTCTGCTTTAGGGAGGATGAAAACCTTCTGCATTTATTTGTTAATTGCAGTCTTAGCAAGGTTGTCTGGAGGGGACTTGAGAATTGGCTTGGGATACAGGGTGGAGGCGCCTTTGAATCAATTTTGCAGCACTTTTACTGGTTCGAACAGCAACTGAAAGGAAGGATGAAGAAGATTAGGAGTGTTGTATGGCTGGCTGCTTTGTGGAGTATATGGAAAATGCGAAATGACATTCTTTTTAATGGTTTGATTCATAATATAGAAGACATAATCAACAGGTGTAAACTTTTGTCTTGGCTTTGACAGAATTTGAATACAAATCACTCAAATTTTGTTTCTTATTATTACTGGTATTGGTATCCAAATTGATGGAGGAGGTGGTACTTTTATGAACTTGTTGATTATTTCTAGTAAGGGCTGTGTACCCCTTGTACTCTATATCAATATATATATTTGCTTATAAAAAAACAATTTTAAAGAACAAATTATGATTTAAATAATGCTTAACAACTAAAGCCACTAAGCACTCTGCAAGGGAATAATAGAGGCTACAAATTAAAAACTTGTGCCAGAGGATCCTTGATGTACACGCCCTTAAGCATCAAGATTCAAGACAATTAGGTGAGTACTCACTCCTGTGTCAGAATGCACAAACGTATAAACAACAAAAACTTTTAGATGAAACTAATAGAAATCTTTTAATAAAAATGACTTTCTTCACCCAATTTTTTTTAATCAAATAGGATCCATTTTGATGCTTTGGACGGCTTCTGTAAGTTTGTGCCTGCAAAGTTGAGTAATTAAGTTCTAAACCAGAAGTTGCTTCAAACATGCAATTCTTCATGTTTTAGTTATGCTTGTATGCAATTGAATATTCTAAAACAAAAGTGAACACATTTGTTTTTTAAAAATTGGTAGACTATGATGTAGATACATTTTTACCTCTTGTCACCAATAGTCTCTACAAGAGCAACTACCCTGCTTAAAATGATGGAACCTAAGTGTATCTCGGACAATTATTTCACGTTCTAGAAGCTGAGATGCATACTTGATGAAGTTGTGACAGTCGGTACAGATACGGAGATTCTTCATTATTCGAATTGGAGTCCTGTGCAAAGTGTTAATGATACCAAAGACAAGTGCAAGTTTTTCACTGTGATGACTAATGAGTACTTCCCTTTGTTCTTCTTCTACATCCTGCATGACCAATTTTGCATCAAAGGAATATCCAATTTCCTTCAATCTTCCTATTAAAGAGTCAAGATATGAATATATTTCCTTGTCTTGTGGATGAGACCTATCTCCCACTACAAAAGTGTGGATTTGATCCTTTAGCTGAATCCAAGATTGACCAGGTTGCTTTTTAACACCTCTTTGATGCATTAACCTCCTTACCGTGGCAGCCTCGTCCCATCGATGATTAGAAGAACACATGTTTGATAGCAAAATGTACGCATCTGGATCAGACGGTGCACTTTGAAGGAGCATTTCGGAAACTGATTTTCCCATCTCAATATTTTTATGAAGACGGCACGAAGATAGAAATGATGTCCATACAGATGTCAAGTGAGAGATACCATTTTCAAAGATAAAGTTCTTTGCCTCAATCAAGTGACCTGCTCTACCATAAAGATTGACCATAGAGGTGTAGTGTTCAACTTCAGGGTTGATGTGATAAGTATCTTTCATCATCTTAAAATAACTATGTCCTTCTTCAATAAGCCCTACATGGCTGCATGCATTTAAAACCCCTACAAAAGTAACCTCATTTGGGATGATACCCTGATTCAACATTCTTTCAAAAAGACTAATTGCTTCCCTTCCTTGACCATGTAGAGCGCAACCAGAAATCATTGAAGTCCACAAGACAACATTTGGTTCATTGATTTGTCCAAAAATCATCCGAGCATCATCTAAGCTGCCGGATTTAGAATACATATCAATCAACGTCGAACCGACATAAGCATCCACTCTATACCCGATTTTTTGAATGTAGGCATGAATCTGCTTACCAAACTCGAAAGCTCCAGCATTGGCACAGGTAGAAATAATGGTTACAACAGTTCGAATATCCACTACAACTAGTTCGTGAATCATTGACCTGAAAATTTTAATACCATCTTCGTACTTTCCGTTCCAAACATAACCGGAAACCATAGAACTCCATGAAACTATTCCTGCCGTAGGTTCCTTGCAAATAACTCCAAAATTCCCCTTTCTCAAAAAATTCAGAGGTACATCTTTGAGAATTGTAGATGCCTTATCCATTCTCCCACACTTACCATACATTTCTACTAGTGAACTCCTTATAAAGCCATCACTATTGAGGCCAAATTTTAAGACCCTCCCATGAATTTGTCTCCCAACCTCAACAAGTGACAAAGAGGAAGCCAAAATAAGAGCTATGGAGAAAGTGAATGCAGAGAATTCAGTCCCATGCTTCACCATAGAATATAGCTGTTCCAAAGCTAATCTTTCATAACCACATTGCATCAACCCATCTATAACAGTATTCCAACTCACAATATCCTTGTAAGGAAAGTTCCTAAACATGTCAAGGGACTTCTCGACATCTCCTTCACGCAGATACGCACCCATCATTATATTCCACGACACAACGTCTTTCTCAACCATCAACTCAAAAAAGCATTCAGCATATTCAAAAGCCTTGCATTTCAAGTAAAGATCAAGAAGAGAATTCTCCAGCACAACATCTCCATCAACCCCATTCCTGAGAATCCACGCATGGATTCCTTTACCCAATTGAAGATTGCTTTCACCTGAACAACACTTGAAAACACTAGCCAACGTATACTGATTTGGACAAGCACCCTTTGCTTGCATTTCTCTAAAAAGGCTAAAGACAATCTCTGAAGAGCCCGCTCTAGCAAAACCTGAGATAAGGACAGTCCATGTTTGAGTGTCTTTGTGGAGAATATCATCAAACAGCTTATGGGCATTGTTCATGTTGCAGGATTTAGCATAGAGAGATAAAAGATAGTTAGCCAAGTTTGTATTTTCAAGAGAACCGTTTTTGAAGTAGTGGCCATGAAGGGCACCAAGTGGTGGTGGAGAGGCATTGGATGTGGTGGAGTAAAGAAAGGAACATGGGTGGCGCCATCGAGAGTGAAAATTGGTTGATGAAACATGGTTGGTGAATAAGCTTTGCCACCCAAACTTAACTTTGCAAAGCTTATTCATAGATGTACAAATTTAAGCATAATGTTAGGCTAGTTTTTATAGTGAGAGAAGTTATTATATTTGAAATGATAAGAATTGAGTTAAGATACTCATTTTTGTCTCTTAATTATATTTTCTAGTTTATTTTGGTTTCTTAATTTTTTTTTTGTCACTTTGGTCTTTTAATTTTCTAAGCATAATCACGTTAGTCCTTCTGTCAGTGAGCCGTTAGTCAAAGTCTAAAAACAACTTCTAGATGGCAGTTTACTTGATGAAATGGATTAGTGGAGTCCAAATTGCAACCAAAACAAATGGATAATACTTCTATATTCTTCAAAACGAACCAACCCTAAGTTGGATACATGAAGGCGATTGTGGAAGCGATTGCAAAGGCGATTTCGAAGGAAAGTGGTTGCGAAGGATTCAACCTGCGTTTGAAGGAACAACTGAAGACGAAGTTTCAAATCCAGGTGAGTATTTTCTACATGTTTTCGTAACTGGTTTGTAACTGGACAAAAAATAGAATGGGGTTTCAAGATGTATCTGATAATAATATTTTGCCTAACATTAGAAAGAAGATTGATGTAACAAACACTTTCACAAACTAATGGCTTGTCAGACATGAAACATTGGTTTTTACTGTTATTTATAGCAATGATTATTTGGGTTAGTACTGATTTATTAGACATCTTTGTAGGATGTCAGATGAGCACATGTTTGAAGTAAGGCATGTAGAAAATCCAACTAAAATATTCACTGAATTTGAAAGACTATTTGTGCTCTTGTAGAAGATGGGATCTCACCGGACTTCCATGTGTTCATGCAATGTCAACTACGAAGAATAGGAATTTTAAAGTTGATGATTATATTCCTGAGTATTATAAGGTATCTAGGTACAAGGAAGTCTACAAGCATGTACTTTACCCTGTGAATAGATTCAATTTGTGGGTCAAGACTACATATCCAGATGTGTAGCCACATAAGTATAGGAAGATGTCTAATAGACCAAAGAAAAGGAGAAACCTTGAGCAAAGAGAGATTGATGGGATTCACTAAAAAAATGAGAAGAATAGGTTTTATAGTCAAGTGCAGTAGGTGCAAAAAATAAGGACATAACAAGTTAACTTGCAAGGTCACACCAACAACTCAAGCAAGTCAGACAAATGCAACACAGGGCACTACAAATCAGGCTTCAACATCTCAGGTCAATGAACACTGGACACTGCAACTCAGGCTTCAGAATTTCAGGTATCAGCAACACAGGCCTCAGCAACTCAGGCCTCAGTAACTCAAAGATACATGAATGCAACTCAGTCATCTCAAGGAAAGACAATCTCATAGAAAGACACAGGGGAAAAGGCAAAAGAACTAGAAAGACACAGAAGTTTGGTGTAAGAAGATCCTTTGTACCCCTAGAACCAACAACAAGATTATTTACATCCAAGAATATGGTTGGTCCTACCACTAGGAGGTCTACTCCAACCAAGAGAATCACACCAAGGAGAACCATCTAGTGGTATTTAGGTCTTGTTTAGTTTATGGTATTAACGTGTCAATGTAACATTTTAGTATTATGTACTGTATTTTGAACACGTCTATGTAACATGTCAATGCATTTCAGAACCTTTATAGAAATTTTCCTATGTCTTTCAACAATATTAATTAATGTCATTTTGTGTTAATGTTTAAGTAATCTGATATGTTCA